TCCTAGTTAGTAGTTCCTGTCTTCAAGCTAATATGCATGGGTCAGGGCTAGGGGATGCATATTGGATGCATTATTCATCAAACCCTGCACTTCCCAGAGCAAATGACCTGCAATTCTGGGAAGCAGTGTTGCCTATTGGATAAAGCCCTCAACGGGAGGTTGTAAGGCCTGGTTTCCATTCCTGGCTTTGCTACTGACCTGCTGTGTGACTTTTTACAAGTCGCTTCACCTCCCTAGGCTTCTCTTTCCCCTCCCTCTCTTTGATGTTCTTGCCTGATTACACTGTAATCTCTTTGGGGGCAGAGACTGTGTCTCACTGCGTGTTCATGTGGTATCTAGCACTATGGGGTCCACAGTCTTGGTTGGGCCTTCTAGGCACTACAGCAGTGATGGGCAATCAAGACTAGTGAGTGGGCCACAAGACTGAAATCCAGTGGTGGGCAACTAGAGGTCTGGGGGTTCCACCTATAGCCCGCGTATCCCATCTCTGCTCCCTTCCCCCACACTTCTCACACACTGGGGCACTAGAGCCCCACACTAACCTACTCTTCCCCCTCCCTCCCAGAACTTGAGGAGTGCTATGAATTGGCTGATTCGTGCCTGCGCCTTCCCCCACTCCATTCAGGCTCTGGGAGAGAGTGGGAGGAGTGGGGACAGGGAGTGAATCAGGTGATTCACAGCACTTCAAAAGTGCTGGGAGTAAAGGGGGGATTAGGGATGGGAAATAAATCAGGTGATTCGTGGTGCTTGGAAATTGCTGGGAGGGAGCGGGAGGCGTAGGTAAGTGCGGTGCTCCTGTGAGATGTGGGGGAAGGACGCAGAGATGCACAGGCTGCAGGTGGAACCCCAATGGACCACGGGCTGCAGGTTGCCCACCACTGCACTGCAATGTTCTAAATAAAAATTCTGCTTGGGATCTATCCCAATGGACTAGCAAGGGAGAGGAAGGCTCTTTGCACCACCCTGCTCACTGTATGTCTATAGAAAGGCCAGGCAGAATCTGCCCTGTATTTGTTTTTAACAAAGAGTAAAGTTAAAAATGCAATGAAACTACAGGCTGTGTAATTAAAACAACATAGCTGCAGTGTCCTGTTGCTTAAATACCATGTTCCCGAATGGTGCTGTATTAGGTTTCTTCCACATCTATGAAGCATTCCAGCTGGACTGCAACCAGTATTTTAATAAACTCTGATATTATGCAGTAGTGAATACAGTGTGCAGCCGTCATAATTCCTTTGAAATCCATTCATCAACAGAAATTTCAACAAATATTTTAAGATGGGAGGCACAAGACAACAACTAAAGGTCATCTGCTAATGGTGGGAAAGAACCATCAGTTTAATCTCCATGTGTCTGTAGAACTCACTAATCTATTTCATTTAGCATTCACACACAGAGAATGGTCTCGGCAAAGATTTAAGATGTTACTCAGGGAGGAGTTTTCATATTATTAAGACTTCATTATTCTTATAAAAAATATACTTCAGTACATTTGCTAGTTTGTTATGCAAAATTCTGATAAACAGTGAAAACTAGATAATACTTTATAATGAGCGTGTTAAGAACATAAGAATAGCCATAATGGGTCAGACCAAAGGTCCATCCCATCCCATTCCACCCCTTTCCCCAAGCTCCTGCCCCTGCCTCTTCTCCTCCCCTGACCATGCCCCATCTTTGCTCTTCCCCCTCCTTCTCAGAGCTTCCTGAACATCACAAATCAGCTGTTTGTGGCACTCCAAAAGCATTGGGAAGGCAGGGGAGGATTTAGTCAGCATAGCTAGCAGTGGGCGAGAGGCACGGGTGGTAGGAATAGAAGGAGGGAGCTTGGCGATGGTGGGTATCCCTGAGGATGCTCCAGCCCCAGAGCACCCACAGAGTCAGCACCTATGAGTACAAATGTTTATGGTGTGTGGTTGTGTGTTTAATAGGCCAGATCACTGGTTAAGGATGAAGTGCATGTAGCAAAGCTGAGTATGTATGCGTGCATGTGCACATGTGGCTTAAAACTGACCCTCCTTTTCCTCTGAGCCTGCTGTAGCTTCTACCTTGGGGTGGTCCTCCTGTGCCAAGTGAGACCAGCAGTTCCCATCCTGCTCCCATTCCAGACAATGAAAAAGTCCTGAGTCACTTTTCAGTGACTCTTTGTAGGCAGTTTAGGTAAGTGAGGACATTTCATCAAAAGCTCTGCTGGGAAGCCAGCCACTGTTTAGTACCAATAAAGCTGCATTTTATTTGTTGCTTGTAGCCCTTTTCTATGTGCCATTATATTTCTTAGTGTACAGATCCCAATTACACATGGCACCATCTTTGGGGAAGGATGCTGTTATAGATTCTCCACAATGATGACATGCATTATGCGATCTTAGGCCCCAGTTCAGCAAAGGACATGCCTAAATGTAAGCATGTGACTAGTCCCAAAGAAGTCAAAGTATACATGGGAAATAGGAAAATTTACATTGCACTCCCATGCTGCACTGGGGTCTCAAATCAAATGTCAGGATCTCCTCAGTAGAGCCCTGCATCTGAATCCACACAAATGATCCATGGAGATCCACATCCACCTCCATGGATGCAGATCCCTGCGGATATAAAGCGGGTATCTGCAGATTTGCAGGGCTCTACTCCTCAGCTGTTGACTAACGAATATTCCACAGGATTCCTCGAACATTTAGTCATGGAGCAGATAAAAATAAAGTTCTCTTGGAGAACTGGTTGTGACGCGAAGGAAGAGTGCAAGAGACCAACAGCTCTACTCTGAATTCACTTGCTTGTTTGTTTTGTGGATGATAAAAGTTACGTAGCATGCAATCTTTCAGGAGGGATAACAATGAAATAATGATCCAGCTTGTCTGAAAAAGTATGATGGATAGGTTTGAGATTTCCATCCCTTTTGATGTGGATGGGGGCTTGTCATACTTGCTTTGGGGCTTGATAATGGAGTGGAGTCACAGCCCCATACAGGGGAATGGTGCATAACTAAGTGCTGCAGGGAAAAAACAAAGGGAGAATCTCTCCTGGAGCATCTGGCTGCAAAGGGGAATGTGCAAGCTGCAACATGCCTCTCTGCAGAGAGCCAGTTTGGTGGGCTGTTGCAAAGGGGCAATGCCCCTCCCCCTTTTCTACTCTTCTAGGGGTAATTTGCTCCACAGAGAGAAAACAATCCCTGCAGTCTCCAGACTGCGCAAGGAGGTGAAATGCTTCCTGCACTCTTCCCCTTCCCTGTGTCCAGAGGAGCTAACAGCCTCTGCAGGCCCCTGGGAAAGATGGCATGGGGCAGCTCCACCCTCCCAGAAGGGATGGGGCTTTGGATAGAAGGAGCGGGACCAAGACAGCCAGCCCTCTGTACTGCCCAGAGAGTGACAGCCTCTCCCCCCCTCAACCTAAGAACGGCATGGAGCGCAGCAGGTGGAGCTCTGGCGGCGATTTAAAGGGCCCGGGATTCCAGCTGCTGCTGCCGCCACAGTAGCAGCAGTGATGGCCAGGAGCCCCAGCCCCGTTGAATCATCAGGCACTGGGGAAACGGGATCCTTTTCTTCCTGCCATTGGTGGACCCACGTATGTCCACATGCCCATAATAGGACCAGAGGCACTACCCTAGCTTACCGAATTAAGTGTTATGTGGGAAATGGTATAAAAGGGTTGAATCATCATCTTGAGCCATGCCTGCCAACTTAGACCTGGGAAAGCAAAACCTTCTTTCCTTCATTTTTTTTCTTTCCTGAAATACTTTTAAAATATCCAGGTAGCCATAAATACTTTTCCAGTCTAAATGTCCCTGGTGGTGGTGAAAATACTCTTCAACTGCTTGCATATATTAATAGTCTTATACAGCACTGGGATGTACATATCTGGGAAAGTTAGAAGGTATTATATGGAAAGTTATCGCCCTCCTAACTACTCTGGAGAGCTGCACTCTAATGGAACCTCATGGTAATTAGACTGTTTAGCTCTCTTTGAGAATGTTAAGTTGATGTCTAGAATGAGTAAGAATCTGTAAACAAATGTGTGCTTAAGTCTGCGCATGTGAGTAGACTCACTGAAGGGCTATGTTGGTGTTGCTACCCATGCTGAAACCCCAGTGTAGACAAGGTCTTACTTCCTGGCTGATAAACAATATGAATTAGAAAGAAACCCACTAAGGGGTTTCCTCTAAGCTGGACACTTGTGCAGCATTGCTAAGTAGAGATTTAAATGTCATCCAGCTGATCAGCAGAGTGCCCACTATTATGTTTTTTGTTTCTGCTGGTGGTGCTCATTCGTACATGTCTTGGTGCACATAACAAAAACGTATTCCACATATGGATGGAAAAGATTAGAGGCAACATAGCTAAGGGGCAAACCCTAGGAATCCCTGGAAGCAGAAGGTCTGTCCTGCGGGGAAGGGAGTGCCCATTAAATTCAAGAGAGCTGTGCACCCTCCACCCACATGCTCTATAACGGCTTCTCTGCCTGGGGAAGGTGAGGAAATGGCAGAGTGGAAAAGAGGATCCAGTTCTCCACTTTTTGGAAAAGCCTTATAAGGGGCTAAGGGACTTGGAGCCTGAAGGACCCTTCTGGGACAGGTTCACCAGCTGCTTTATGATTCTGCATTATACACACACACTCTGCCTTGTATACCTGGCCAGCACCAGCCCGTGGCTTCACTCCTTCCTATGCTCCCTGCAACCTCCTGGTTGTCTTGTACTCTCAGGAGGTAGGAACAAGCAGACCCTGCACACCACTGCGTTCAGGCACTGCAATTCCAAATGGATCTTACGTGGGTCATGCAAAGGAGAGAAGTTCCACGGGCCAGCCCCTCCTTACTCACTCCCACTGAGGACCTGCATACGGTCTAGGTAGACTGGCCACAATCCAAATGCACCAGTACCTCATTGGAGAAGTTTTAAGTCCTGTAAAGCTTTCTAGGCTGCTGTATCATATGTGTCAAATTTTATGGAGGATTTGTCTTTAGTTCAAGTACTGTATGCCACTACTGAGATAATAAGAGCACCTCCGCATACCTTCTCTCGTTGTCATCAAGGTGAGCAAAGAGCACATTCTTGGAGATGGCTTTTGCCAGGGCAGTCATTGTTTTATAGTCCTTTGGAATAACCTGTGGGGGGGAAGAAACACAGAGTTACAGTTCTCGCTTTGTTTCTATATTGTTTCAAATTGCTAAGTCAGACTTAGAATTTAGTACAAAACCACCAAGAAAGCAATACATCCCAGTTTCAACAGCCTGGAGACAAGAATCAATGTTACTAATACAAGAATCAGAAGAGATATGTATCGGAGCCCCTCTTTGTCTTGCTTCCCTCCCCCTACAAAATATCCGTATACAGCAGAGACTGACAAGAGCTATGAAGACAACTTTCATATTTCATTTATTTTTTAAGAGATCGAGGAAAACACTTTCCACACAATTCCTCTCCCCAAAGCAACTTCAGAAGCAATTTACCTCTAAACACAAAGCACGAGAGACATTTCTCAGCCTTAGAAACTCAAACATGGGTCTTATTTATTTTTTATTGTGAAAAAAAAAGTATTTTATCAGTCCACAGTATCAAACCAGTGTATTAAGAGTATACTGGATGGTCTGGTAGTAACTGCATTAAAGGAAGCAGACACCAGAAGACTGGAGGCAATAGAGCTATTCAGAAGCAGTGGTGCAAAGAGTATCACGGGGCCCCTGGGCAAGGTGGAGAAGCCCCTGGGAGGGGTAAAGCCTCAGGCGGAAGGGGTGGGGCTGGTGCAAGGTAACACTTAGTGCCCTCACCTAGACAGCTCTCAGTGCTGCCCGGAGTGTGACACAAGGGGCTCTAGCAGCAATTTAAAGGCTTGGGGCTTCGGCCCCTACTGCAAGCAGTGGAAGCAGCCAGGAGCTTTTGTATCACTGGGTCCCGGGGCAATTGCCCCCGTCCCATCAGCTGTTTGGTGGCACAGCGCGGTAGTCTGGACGCTCCGTGGTTGACAAGGGCTTCCTTGTCAGAAGCACAGGGATTCCCTTTTTAAAGTGGCTATCTTCTCCACGGTACACCTCGGACTGCCTCATGGCACACCCGTGTGCCGTGGAAAACAGTTTAAGAAACGCTGGTATAGACAGACATTATCCTGATTTAGCAGGGAAAGGGTTAACACTCTGCCCTAGGAGCACCACAGACACTCTTGGGAGGGGGGAGTCTTCCACTGGCTCCTTGAGGGAGTACAGGGGAAAAAATAAGAGCAGATATGCTTCTCTACGGACCTTCCTCCGCTCAAATGGGCTGAGCCTCTGTTTATTTTACTTTAGAACCTCTTTGGCCCCACAGAGACTGTGAGTGAGGGTACATCTAGACTGTGGGGGTTTTCCAGGGAATGCGTTTGCTCTCCCCCCCCCCTTTTTTTTTTTTTCAGGGAGCCCTGTATACCTCATTCTACAAGGAATAAGGGATCCTCCAAAAGAGGAGGATTTCCGCCATTTGGCCCCATCTAGACGGGGCCAAATGGCGGAAAAGCCTCTTCCGGAAAAGCGATCGGAAAAAACTACACAAATTGTGGAGAGTAATTTGTGTAGCTTTTTCCAAAAAAGTCTACAGTGTAGACCTAGCCTCAGAGGCAGCCTAAAATGATGGATTTACTCTTCCTTTTGTTTTCCTGGTCAAACTGTGATGGGGAAAATCCCAAGAATGAGAGTGAGATCAGGCCTTGGGCTTGGGATTTTCTTTAACCTAAACCTCCTTAATTTGGTCAAGGGTTGTTTCTGGCCGTTCATGTCTTCCCTTGTTCACCTGGCAGAGAAGGAATCCTGATTAAGTCAGAGGGCCATAACGCCAACCCAGACAGAGTAAGGCTATTTCCAGTGGGAGGACTGATGCAGGACAACCCTCTTACAGTGTGAACAAAGAACAACCCCAGAATTATTTAAAGGAAAAGTGGCATTGTCTGTAATGGAGCACTAAGCCATACCATATGGTTTAGCCACTAGGTGGCACTATGTGTAAAATACCTTATTTAAATGAACCTCTGACATCCCTGTCAGAGTATTAAAGGATCTTACGATGAACACATCTAGTGTGCATAAGCAAGCTCTGCAGCCAGTCCATATATGGTACAGGAGAATGTGACAGTCACCTTGGTAAAGGCTCAAGGGCTGAATTCTATCTCCACAAACACCGCTCCTTCATTTCCTCAAGTCAAAGGCTTTGTCTACACTAAACACCCTTGTCAATCTAACCTATGCTGAAGTCAACGTACTTACCATGGTGTCTTTTGTGTGGTAAAGTCAGCGGGAGCCGCTTTCCCACTGACTCCGGCTACTCTTCTCATCCTGGCAGAGTACCGGAGTCAACAGGAGAGTGCTCGGAGATCGATTTATTGCATCTAAGCAGACACAATAAATCAATTGCCAGTGGATTGATCCCTGTGTAGAGAAGACAAGCCCTAAGGCACAGAGAAGTCAATAGAAACACATGTACTTATCAGAGGGCAACATTTCACCTTCACTTGAATAGAGACTCGGAATTCCTAATTTCACACAAAGAAGAGTTAGGCACAACATAGCACACAATGAGTACGTCTACACTTCACGCTTATTTTGAAATAAGCTATTCTGAAACAGCTTATTTCGAAATAGCATGTCTACACTGCAGGGAAGACCCAAAATTAGTCCAAAGCAGGCTTCCCTAATGTGGACATGCTATCTTGCCTCAGGTGCCAGACTGTGCGGGGGCGCCACTAGGGTTACCAGGTAGACCCCCCCCAAAATACTGGACACACTTGATCGTGGGCGGGGAAGGACCGGCCGAGAGGGGGGCGGGGCTGGCCGGGAGGAAGGGAGGTGGAAGGGGGGAAATCGGGGGGAAGAGGGGCTGGCCGGGAGCAAGGCTGGGAGGCAGGGCCGCGATCGGCGCTGGGAGCCTGTGGTTGCGTGCAGAAGCCGGGTGGGGGGAGTGGCTGGGAATCCCAGCCACTGCCCCCGCCCCGCCCGGCTTTTGCATGCGACCACAGGGCTCCCAGCGCCAATCGCAGCCCCGCCTCCCAGTCGCTCCCCCGCCCCTGCCAGGCTTCCGTCCGGCTCCCAGCCGGACAGTGCATGTATCCAGTATTTTCTGGAATTTTCTACCGGACAGAGGGTGCAAATACCAGACTGTCCGGTAGAAAACCGGACACCTGGCAACCGTAGGCACCACTAGGACCCAGAGTGTAGAAAATTGTGTCTGCTGCTGGTGCATATGTGCATATGTCCATATGGGGGCGTCATTTGAGCTCCCCACCTCAGGTGCCAAAATGTTGTGGGCTGGCCCTGTTTTTTTTAAAGTTTCTAAAGTGGATATTAACAACTACAGAGAGAAAATACTAAGTAGCTGAAAGTCCCTTTTAAAATAACATGTAAATGCTTTTTAAAGTGTCATGCATTAACAGTTTACCTAGAGCATTTTTTAAAATGTACTGGGTAGCTGCCAGCATTATTTGACTTAAATGCTGGGAGAGTATTCTTCTCTAATTGGCTCTCTCAGGTGTCTGTTTCTTGTGAGGGAAGACCCAATAGCAATCACCGAGCTCATAATGCATGCATGATCATGGACAGAAAAAATACCCTACCCAAAAGCAATGGTTGACAAAATGTGTTCCTATAGACATGGCCTGAAATACACAACGCTTCTACAAAGAAAAGTTTAATATGTTATGAATCTCTGCTGCAAAATTACAAATACCTGAAGATGAATGCGAGAAGTCTAATCAGATAATGAAAGAGCTCATGTAATAAGGCTAAAAATAAATCCATGCCAGTGATGTAGGAGTTGACCTACATGCTCTAAAATAATACATACACCTTCAAATGATGAGGCTGGGAACTTAAATTCATAACGCTGCTGGACACTAAAAGCCATGGACTTAACAGCAACACACGTTGTGCGGCCCATTCCAACAATTTGTAAGGCACTCTGCTGTCTACCACACCTCTTTTGCCATAGGACTGCAAAGTGTTTAAGTGTCCACTTCATTTTAAGTGGTCTCCTATAACATGTGCAAATTCCTTACGCTTAACAATCTGTCCTGACTTATATTTAGCTGTACCACGATAGCTACCTTTTCCAGACTCGAGAAAGCGTTCTGTGAAGCTTGAAAGCTTATCTGCTCCACCAATAGAACTTGGTCCAGTAAACATATTACCTCATCCACCTTGTCTCTGTTGAAACAATCTTAAAATTTCTGAAGGAAATACCGCTGGAGGCAGATAACTTCTAATAGCGCATGTTGGGATACACCCTCAGTTTAAAGCATTAGGGAAAGTTCACATGAGTTAAATTCTGCCCAATGGGAGTTTTGCTTAGTTACAGATCTGAGAACTTGGCCCACCATATCTGTCTAGGTTAAGCACTATTTATACCCCCAGGTGATTCCACTGGGAATTTCCTGAACAAACTGACCCAAACAAGAGCAATGGCATGCTAAATTGTATCTGCCTTGCAGCCTTTTCATGAAAGCTCTGCAGAGCACTGATCCTGTCTTAGATTAGCCTGTAAATAGCCATGCACATCTTATGGCACACTGAAATAATGGCTGGAGGAAAATTTAAGATTATGATGGCTCTTTGGGGTACTATGTGTGGCTCTCCAGACATTTTGTTTACCAGTGCTCAACCACAGGGTTGACAGACATCACTGGTTTCTGTCCATGTTGTTTTTTTCCTACCAGTATTACTAAACGCATGTAAAGCAAAGGCAAGTGAAGTGAGGTGCGTGCTGCTTGCTCACAACATTGACCATGAGAGAAGTTCACTCCCACTGCATCCAATCAACACACTGCTATCGTTCTATCGGTACACCCTGCAAATTGCAAGGACACAAGTGCCGTTAGCAAAAGCACCCTATCCCAGGAGAGTGTCTTGGTTATGACAGTTTTGCAGCCTACTGAAATGAATGAGGGCCACTCACACGGTCCACTCACTAGCCTAGGTTGCCCATCTCTGGGCTAAAACCTAAGTCTGTTAATGGCAAGATGAGCAAAAGTCCTGCTCTTAGGAGTACCTGCCAAAGATTAAACACAATTAATAGTATAAAAATACATTGATTTGATTGAAAGAGCTCTGTGAAGTAGAGTCCAGGGCTTCCACAAACTGTAACCTTCTAGTTCTTGCTTTGTTTATTCTTAATTTGTGCTTGGCATTTCTTTGGAGGCAGTGGCAATATAAAATGACCCATTGCAAATTGTGTATTACAGAGTAAAATACCAACAGATCATCGGATTGTAACATACACTTCAGCATCAAATTGTTGCTAACAAGTTACCTTTCTAACATAAGAAACCGCATCTTCCTCAGTGTACACCTCAGCACTGACACCTCCCCTTCTGCGTCGAGCTTTCACCACCGGGTTTGGAGGAGGAGGAGAAATCTCATCATCATGAGAATCCGACTGGGAATTAGATTTCTGCCGAGCCAATATTTGTTTGCATTCTTCCTGTAAGTGAAAAAACAAAGAGATGCAATTTCGCCTCGTAGCTATGTAGCCGCCTCTCTAAACAGAACTTGATATACTTCTCTTTGGTAACTCACAGCAATGTATTCATTTCTACTGTGATGGGATATTTCATATTCTTTATGGAAATATGATTAATAACTTGAATAGGCTTTAAGCAAAATATTTCAAGTAAAATATCATTAGAAAGGTTATTATCTTCTGAACATGTATATTCTATTTGTGTGCATGCACCATGGCTGTATTTAAAGTTAGAAATATGAAGTATAAACCTGTTTGCTAATCTACTTATGCTAAGTGAGGGCCATTAGTAGTACTCAAGGAACCTAATGGTCCGGTATTCAGGTCAATGATCTCTAAATAGTCTTGTTTTTTCTGTAAGCCTGGACTATGGTTGGTCCTGCCAAGACATGTATCCAGGTCACCTAATGCTGGAACCCTTCCTGGACACTGTACTTTTCCACTGAAGGGGAGAAAAGTTTGAACTGAACACAAAGGATTCCCACATTGGGCAAAATCTATGTATAGGCAGGAAACCAAGTAACGAGAATAGCTGTCAGATGAAAGGACACCCCTGTTTACCATCTGTGATGGTGCGTCTTCCCCACACTAGCCCATTAATGGTTAAAACCCAGAAGCTGAGGCAGAGACCACCAATTAAGGCCCAGGTGAGGGCAGTATAAATAAAGGCTCCTGGCGAGGAGGAGACACAGACTCACTCTTGCTCTAGCTGGGGAGCAGGAGGGATCTAGCTGCCAGGGAAGCTAGAGGCTTCCTGACTTAGACCAGGGCTGAAGAAAGGCAGGCAGAGCTGAGGAAGCTCTGGCCAGGCAAGTTCCCAGGTTGCAGAGCCTGAGACAAGGCCTGAGGCTACTACAGCTGCAGGGATACAGCCAGGGCAGCAGAAGGCAACAAGTCCACATCCCCTTCCCAATGATGACTGGCCATTTCAGACTGAAGTTTGCCCCTGAGGAAAGGGGCTAGATGACGACTGGCAATGGGTCACTGAGGCAAGGTGGGTATAGGGTTTGGGGGATCCCTGAGGGAGAGGACCCCAGAGAGTAGAGGCACTGCGGTAGAGCAGGATCCAGAGGGAAGGATCCCACAGTCTGGGAGGGGCATGGTTACTAACACAAAGTGGTTCAGAATAACAGGCAACTTCAGACACCAGCCGAAAGGGGGCGCTCCAGGGCTGAAGTGCCAATTCACAGCATGACCAGCCAGAAGCATCCTGGTGTGAGTCCCACACCTTGTTACACCATCTAAACTATCTGCTACACCACCTAGACCTGAACATTAAGAAGGATTAGGCCCAAATAGGGAGGCTACCCAGCTTGTGAGAAAATATTATTAGAACTAGTGTTAGAGTAAGAAATTGCATGTAACAAGTTTCTTTAAGTATTAGGCTTAATTGGAATGTTTTGTTTTATTTTGCTTAGTAACTTACTTTAATGTGTCTGCTATCTCTTGCAACCACTTAAATGCTACTGTTTATACTTAATAAAATCACTTTTGTGTATTAATAAACCCAGTGTAAATAATTGTTATTTCAGGGAAAGCTGTGTATCTCTCTCTTTCATTAATAAAAGAGGCGAACAATTTATGAGCTTGCTCCGTATAAACCTTGTGCAGAGTAAGATGGATTTAGCTGGGTTTCTGGTCCCATTTGGGTTGTACACTTAGGCGCTGTGTCAAGTCCCTGTGATTGAGCCTTCCCAGAGCTGAGCTGCTCTCAGCGTCTATTTTGCTCTGCTGTGGGCTGTAACCTCAATTCTGAGCCATCACCAGAGGGGACCAGAATAGACTTGGCTCATCAGGACAGGGTGGTGGGGTGCCCAGATGGCAGGTAGGCAGGTTCAGTGGTATTTTAGCACATAAGTGACCATCTCAAGGGAATCTCCCTGTGACTGAACTTTCCACATCTGTATCTCCATCAATGTTTTTACATTTGTGCACTTGTGTGTTCTGATGGACCACTGAAAACTAGTGAATTGCATGAAGGAAAACCAGCTAACATAATCTACATGTGATGAGGTATGGCTTGGAAATCTGACACTGGGCAGGATGGGGTTAAAGGACAATTCTGAGCCCTGGTAGTCCTGCCCCCTTCAGCCTCCCTTAGGGAATATGGGCATGTGCTGAGCCTGCCTAGGGCTGATGGTTTGCTTTCCACCTTATCTTGGCTATAAGCTTAGAGAGGAAAGCAACAGCACGAAGTTACTCAGGGAGGCTAAATTGGAGGATATCTTCGGGGCCAGAAACTGTTGACTCTCCTAGGGTCCTAGGTCAGTGCATGGTAGGATGAACAGGCTTAGACTAGTCTACTTTTGCCCTGCTACAAAAAGGATCCAAACCATTGGCCTCCCTTGCCGCACTTCTGATTAAAGACCTATCCACCAGGATTTGACACAGGGGGCTTTACTAACCAACCACTAGGCAATCTAACCCATCAAGGACTCTATCACACTACAAAGTGCCACAATACTAAACTTCTCTCTCACATCAATTACCCACCAAGGTATCTTCATTGCTTTCAGTGGTTTAGTACTGCTGTGGGGGAAAACTGAGGCCTTATATTACTTACTTTGCAAAATAGTTTTTTTTCTTCCAGGTGATCTACAGCATCTTTGAATTTCCCATGGGATGATACTCAAGAGTGAGGGAGTAAAAGAACAAACTCTGTCATGACTAAGTTTCTCTTAAGGAAAGAGTCTAAACTAAAAGTCATGCATTAATCAGACCACCTCCACTTCTGCTAGGAGCTTTGTTCCAGGTTTCCCACTACTAGAACACAGCAAAAATGCTGGCTGACCTTTTTTCAAGAGGTTACATATTCTGGAATCTTCACGGATAGAGGCCAATTCTAATCTCACTCCTGATTTATGACAGTGTAAGCAACTCCCATAAAATCAATGGAGTTACAACCATGTAAAACTGAATAAATGAGATCTGGATCAGGCCCTGCAGTACAATGAAAATTGATAGTTGGGTTAGCGCCAGCTGGCCAAACCAAAAGCTGTGTTCCAAACTCCCACTCCTAGAAAACAATACAGAAAACAAAAGGGAATCCCTGAAGAGGGACTAATAGGGGAAAGAAACAGTAAAGGGGAAAAGTCCTGGGAGCTACAAATGTGTATGGCAGTCAATTATATTTATCAAAATGTATCATGATCCACTGATTTTGTTTAACTTTTCCAGAATTTAACTTAACAAAACTACTTTCACGGTGACACTCAAAGTCCCTAGTAAGATTAGTGCCTCATTGCACTAGATCATGATACCAAACCCCAGCCCCTTCCTAGGAAATTCCTATCTAATTTGTGTGTAACAAATGGAGGGAAAGGAGGAGAAACAAGGAGGGTACCAGTGACAGACATGTGGTTAATTACCAACATAGCCAGTTGGCTTTGTTGACACAGGAAATGAGTTATGGATAGCTCATCGGGTATGACACCAGAAAAGAGTGTGGTACATAAAATTTGTCCTGTTTTATTGGCACATGCCCATAACTTTAAAGCTTGTAAGAAAAACAGATGATTAATAGATGGTTTGCCACTGATATTTATGGATGTCTGACAAATCCAGCTATGCTGCTTATGATTTCTAGTCTTGTTCTAGTCACTTTCTCCTCTCTCGCTGATACTGCCTCCTTTCTTAATACAAACAAAAGTACCTTTTACATCAACCTGATAATATTGCTGGTGGCTCACTTAAAGAACAAGTTAGTATTTCTTAAGCTGCATAATCCAAAATGACAGCTCCCAGCACATTCTTGTTTTAGTCAAAGGTAATTTTTAAGATCTAGACTACAGAACTGTTTAGGAGACCAACAGAGAAATACAACTTCTGGACTAGCAAATGGCCTGATTCCACAACTATCCAAATGTGCTCCTGTGGGTAATGAACTCCCTTAATTATTTGGAATACCAGGCATTACTGCAAGACCCACTGCGCTACGTGCTAAAAAAGCACAGAATTAAACTGACTTTAAGAGAGTATTCACCACCATGCAAGACAGAGCACCAAGCTACTGAAAATTGATTCAGTTCCATCTGAAAATATAAATTATGCGGTTAGAGGATGGCTAGACTGGATTTTCATACACTATCAGAACGATGAATCATACATTCTCACCAGCTTCCTCTCCACAACATACACGGTAAATGTCTGGATGCACTAGCTTACTGAGTAGAAGTATGCAGCGACAGCAAAGCAAACATTCTTAAAGAATATACAAAAGTTCTTTGCATTTATAATTTTAATTAGTACTTGTTTACATGAAAGTAATACATTTTGAAGCATTTCAAATATTAAATAGCTGACTGCATTTTTAATTTAATGTAATTCTTCAACCATATAATACTCTTTTGTTATTCAGAGTGGCAAAACTATATACAGTTTCTCCAGACACTTGACTGCAAATGTAAAAATTGACACTCCTTTCAGTAAACACTTCAGTTCTGAAAAGTACAGCACAAGGTACACTATTAAAACCAGATAGGCAGGTAATTATATAATATTACTTTACACTTACATTGTCTATTTATTCATGGCATACAGTACTACAGAAAATTATTTATTTGCTAAATATGAATATTAACCACTTTTTTTTTGTTTCTTGCATTTGTTTTTTGTTTTTATATTATGCAATATAATAGGCATTTGTGAAGAATTAATAACTAATATGTCCCCTAGTCTACTACAGATTTATAAAAGGTAAAAAGGCTCAATGAGGTAAAATAATATTACAGTTCACACACCTCTTAAACCCAAATACAATAGGATAATATTAAATAATTATAAAAATGAGTTACCATATGATTCATTTCAAAAAAAGTGTCTTCACTACAAACTCTCTTTATATAGGCAGCAGACAGTTGACTGGCTGGCTTTTCCATGTGCCGCTATTTGTAGTCTAGATATGCTTTCCATTATTGAACTCATTGCTTTTTGAAAACAAAAGCATACACTGTGTCCAGGGT